CCTCGACTTTCCTATTGTGCTCATCCCCACCTGCTCTTTACGGATGCAGGTTAGTTCATGTGGCACGGCGGAAGAGATGCGAGTGGTGGTCTTCAAATTGTTAAATGCTTCCGCTTGAACTGAACTTAATATTACTGCATTATTATTGATTATTGTTTTCTAGTATTGGAATATTGGAATACTGATAGGGATTATTTCCCTAGAACATTATTGGATTATTATTGCATTATTGAGATTTTATTATCGATTATGAGTATTGATAAATGCCGAGTATTGAGGAATTGATGAGTATTGATTATTGTTTTGGAAAAGAGTAGCGCCCAAATATTGTTTTTGAAATAAATTTCGAAAAATTTATTCTGATTTTTGGTAAATAAAAGTGGGGCGTTACACTTTGGCTATGAATTGTTTCTCTCTCCCGCGTCTCTCGTCTTTCCATAAATCCCTTGATGTTGAGAACTTTATTTCGTATGAGATGGGAGAGAGGGGCATGTAGTATATATAGGAGAGGAGACCTAGAATCCTAATCCTACTACCATTTCCCATGTTCTAACATAACTTACTGTCCAAGTCAAACATCACAAATTAGACTTTTTATTATTAGAACATTAATAATCTATTAAATATATATTCACCTTAATTAAGTTTGACTATTAATTCGATTAGGTCTAACTAATTATATGGTCCACAATAATTGAATAATATATATAATATTATTACAGCTCAGAGTTCGGGAGGCCTAAGAAGCTCGGATACTGGAGAGACCTCATGGCCTGTAGGTCGTCTAGATTAGGTTTACGACTTGGTTAAGACTTGTGGCAAGTAGGTACGGCGGTCGGGCTTGTGACCTCAGGACCTAAGAGCCGTGCAACAGGAGGGGAGAGAATTCTTTATGTATGAAAAATGTATATTCTAAATACTCTCATATTCAAAAGATCTTGCCAAATTAGGAAAGTGGATAGGAAAGGAATTTTTTTCTTAACCAAGACTGTCTTGTTCATTACCCTATATACATAAGGATATCCAGGTTCTCTACAGTGCACAAGAATTTATATACATACTCTGAATTTTATCACAGACAAACACTGACTTGAGCGTCGAAGGCTACTCTGTCGGGACCCTTCCAACGTATCACATGCCATAGAAATCTGAGCTGGTGCAGGTTCGTGGTTCGTGGATCAACCATTATGAAGAAATTTGTGTATCAAATCAGTGTCGTCTATGGTAAGGCTCCAGTATTTTACCGCTTATAAAGGACCGATTTTTCTCACAACAAACTCGAAGAAGTTTGAAGATCAGAGAGGGTGATAATTCCAAGAAGAATTTGATCAAATAGTTGGATGAAGCATGGACAAAGAGAGTATTTGGGACTGGCCCTCCCTCGGGCTAGTCACAATCTTCCGGCGCACTCGTTACGCAACAGGATATGTTGTCGGCACCCCATACTGCATTAATCTGTTGTTAGGTACGTCAGAAAGACCTACAGCGGGGCAGAGAACACTCATCAACCAACAGGAGAGGGAAGACTAGGAAGTTTTAGACCAAACAACGACTTAGGAAAAGGAAGGACATCAAAAGGAGGTTCGGGGGTCAACCGACCTTAGGATCAGGCAGAAGGCCAATCTGTGGACCAATAGGACAAGAGGATCGGAGACCAGGTTATCCAGCTCATTAGGGTGAAGTTGGAAAGGATTATGGCAAAAGTCGTGTCTCGAGCACGGGTACCTAATCAACTAGTTCTGGTCGTACCACAACAATAGTCACAAAGGAGGCCAGAAGAAAGAGAAGCAAGGTTAGTTGAAATTCTTGAATACATTGAAACTAAAATCTTCCCTAGGCTTACCTACTTGCTGATCATTGTTAGCCAATAATTCATTGAAATCACTTCTAAAAACCATAACTCTCCCCAACTGAGACTATGTCTATTAAGAATTTCCCACTTACACTGCCTACTACAAGGACCACTACTAAAAAACAACACTCTTCTTTCCCATTAACTTGAAATTTAACCTCAATACTCTAGGTACACCAAATCCAAAATAGTGACCTTATCATACCAACACAAATACATATCACCCTTTTTGCTATAGGATTAATATAGCACCATCTATCTTCCAACTTAAGATTATAGCAAACAGTTCCTACAAAACCAGTAAATTCAATCAAAATTAGATCTTAAGTTTAAATGATTTAAAGTGAGTTAATTTGAATAAAATTGATTGATTGAGATGAGAGATATTGTAACTAAATAATATTTAAAATATAATGATTCAAGTTCATCTGATATAAAAGTATGAGAAGATGATGAAAGTGATATATAACTAAAAAGAAAAATGTTATAGATGCATAATGTTGTACATAGACGTGTACATAATAATCACATTAAGTGGGTCCTATCAAAAGTAAAAAATCAAGTGGACCTCACATAATGTGAGTGTTATGTACACTTCTATGTACATTTATTATGTATTTGTAGTATTTTTCAACTAAAAATACGTGAGTGGAGAATAGTAAATTAAAGTTGATGTCATGTAGGTGGTGAAATAAATTTGAGTTAGACTTTGAGTTAAAATGAGTGAATTATCGATCAAAACCAATTTTGGCCGCCTACAAATCACCTTTTTACAGTTTTTTTTTTTTTTTTTTTTTTTTTTTT